CCTCCCAGGACTCAGGTAGATTTCCATTTGTAAGCTCAAAAGAGACAACTAAAAATTATTAGTTCGTCTTCAATGTTATAGGTAAGAATTTTTAATTTAGTAACCGGACTAAACATTTTTAGCATTATACAGGTTTCTACCAACTAAGAAGAATAAACGGAGATATGAGGTGGATGCAGAGATAAAAGCAATGTTAAGAGATATAATTTGCAAGAAGCAAAAGGCAATGCAAAATGGAGAATCAGGTAATGGTGATCTACTTGGGTTGCTGTTGCAATGCAAAGAAGAAAAGGGAAATGAGATGACAATTGAAGATGTAATAGAGGAGTGCAAGCTGTTCTACTTTGCTGGCCAAGAGACCACTGCTAACTGGCTTACATGGACCCTCATCGTGTTGTCCATGCATCCGGACTGGCAAGAGAAGGCCAGGCAAGAAGTTCTCCATATTTGTGGAAAGACAGCCCCTGATGTGGAAATTTTGAACAGGCTCAAAATTGTAAGTATGAATTTGTTGTTAACCGATTTTTTTTGCAATACCCATACATAATACTATCACGTAAGATTTGCTTATTGTGTTTATGAATCCATGACTAATGAGGGGGAAATTGTTTTTGTAGGTCACGATGGTGTTGTTTGAAGTCCTAAGATTATATCCACCAGTGACTGGCCTGTTTCGATATACCGTCCAAAGAACTAAGGTAGGGGATATTTCCATCCCTGCAGGGGTTGTAGTTTATCTACCAATTATGCTGTTGCATCATGATTCTGAGTACTGGGGAGATGATGCAGAAGAGTTTAAACCAGAGAGGTTTGCTGAAGGAGTTTCAAAGGCATCAAAGGATCAATTGGCATTTTATCCCTTTGGCTGGGGACCAAGAATTTGCTTAGGCCAAAGCTTTGCAATCATAGAAGCAAAATTGGCTCTGGCCATGATTTTGCAGAACTTTTCATTCAAGCTATCACCTTCATATACTCATGCCCCCCATACCATAATAACTCTCCAGCCACAGCATGGGGCTCCAATTATATTCCAACAGATATAAAGATTTTATGTCCAGATAGGAATGAAGAAATTTCTCTTTTTTCTACAAGAATGTCACCAATTCCATGAACTGTGTGGCACACGGATCTTCTGTAGACCTGGTATTTACTGATATTGCTAAGAATGCAAAAAAAAAAAAAAATTGAAATTGGACAGTAATTTCTGTTTTACTTTGACCTTCAATGGAAAAGTCTTTTGTATCCTTGCACAATATACTTGTATCGTTTCTAGAATAGTTAACTTTAATAGATCTAACTAACTGTGCAAGTGTTTAATAGATTTGAAGTAGATGCTTGGTTGATTTAAAATTTTGCCATAAACCATCACAGAGGCTGGAACATCAAAAACAAGTTTGGGGTTTAAGTCAAATATTTTAGACAAGTCGTCCAAAAAACAAACTGGAATATGCCCAATCTCCCACCAAATTAAAGTTAACTGATGAGGCCTGTCAATTCCATCCCCAATAAGTTTCTTGGTAAGGTTGCTACTTTTGGAAACAACCCAAAGTAACTCTGCATTAATTGCAGCTCGTAGCCCATCTTCCATGACAATTGCAGCTGCACACCCGGCAACGAAGCTTATAGTCTTTCCATAAAAGGAAACCAAGCAGCATGGAAGGATCTATACCGAAGGCTTTAGCTCTCTGCTGGGCTCTTTTGTTGTCCATCTTTTTCATAGTAGTAAAATTTTTGTGCAATCTCTGGTGGAAACCCAAAAGCCTGGAGAAACAATTAAAGCAGGAAGGGATTAGAGGAACCTCTTACAAGCTTCTCTATGAAGACAAGATGGTTATATATGAAGAAGTTGATAGTTCCACGGGTCAACCCCTTCCTTCATCAAATGGTCCAAATTCTTCAATCTTTTTTTTTGTACCATCTTTCTTTTGTCATCAACATGTTCAATTCCCAAGCCTCTCATTCTTGATGGATACTTCCTTTCCTGCACGCACGTAAGAACTTAGATTCACTTTACTGAATACTTACAAAACAGTTGGTAGTCGGGTTCGAGCTTGACTCTGGATTTATCGGGCCAATGTGGTCGCTGGACAAAAAAAGTAAGCAGTCTTATTGAAAATTGGCATTAGTAGCTGTTGATTAAAGTGTCGTTTGCCCTTTACACCAAAAAGGCCTAGGATTGTAGTTATCGTAAATAATTTTGGAAAGCTGGAATATTGGAAATCATGAGAATTGTGGCTTGTGAGCTATACTATACAAGTACATAGTGATGGTACTACTGATGGTGGCTTTGGCGTTTTGCTCAAATAGGGAAAATATGCATGTGTTGGATTGATAATAGGGAGGGCAGAATTGATCAGGCTGATACTCAGTGACAAGAATGGTCACTTGCAAAAGCCACCACAGAACCCTTTTGTGGATATTTTGACGCTGGGAGTCTCAACCTTGGAAGGAGAGAAATGGACCACACGTAGAAGAGTAATCAATCCTGCATTCCATAATGAGAAAATTCGGGCAATGTCTGCTCTATAATTCTAGTACATTTTTGCCAACAAATATGGACAATCCCTTGATCCAAATTGTGTTTTGTTGAAATGAATTTGGTATGATCAAGAGCAAAAATGTTTCAATTGTCAAGTAAAAAATCTTTAAATTTCTTTCTATCTATGTGATATCACAGCGAAGATCTCGTTTTGGTTTGATACTTACCAATAGCTAGACATGCAAGTTCAAGTTATCTTACATGCAGTAAATATTTGGCTTATCTATTCTTGTCTTGCATACCTAATTTCTAGAAGAAACTAGGTAAGCATAAATTTCTTGTGCTTCAAATCAATTTAAATGGGATCTTTCCCTTCTGGATATAGCCAAGGCTTTGGATGATCTCTTGAAAAAATATGTTACCTTTTAATGAAAAGATGCATTTCTGCGTCGGACTCAGAATGTCTTTAAATCAAAGGCACAAGAAGTCGAGCACGACCCAAAATAGAAAGAAGAATATAACTACAGAATCATCCTGAAAGCTAAAGTTACATTTATAAATTGATTGATCTAATGAACTTCAAAGCAATTGTGCTAATGACTTTGAAGAAAACTGGGAATGGTACCGGAAATTTTTTGCAAGTTGATGGGTGGAAGAAGTCAGTTCCTTCAGATGGATCGAGTGAAATTGATATTAATCCAGAAGTACAAAGTCATTTTGCAGATGTGATTGCTAGGACAGCATTTGGAAGGAGCTATAGAGAAGGAAAGAAGATAATCGAACTTCGGGGTTCAGAAAGAACAAGCTGTACTGATTAATGAAGCATTTCAGGCATTTTACCTCCCAGGTTTCAGGTGGAATTCGATTCACAAACAAGAGATGAACATTCAATTTGCAAACTAAATTTTCTTTTATTGAGTGGGGAATTTTTAAAAGATTGAAGCTAAGCAGATGGATACATTTTTAGAAAAAATACAGAGTTGCTATTCAGCAAAACTATTTTACTTGGCAAATTAATTTCAACCAGCTCCAAATTTGACTGAATGGATAAACAGATTCTTCGTATAGATTTCTTCCAAGAAGAATAGAAGGAGATACGAATTGGATGCCCAGATCAAAGCAATGTTAAGAGATGTAACTTGTAAGAAACAGAAGGCAACGCAAAAGGGAGAATCAAGAAATGGTGATCTACTAGGTCTGCTGTTGCAATGCAAAGAACAACAGGGTAGTGATGGCAATAGAAGATGCAAAGAGGAGTGCAAGCTGTTCTACTATTTTGGCCAAGAAACCACAGCTAACTGGCTTACAGGCAGGCACGAGAAGGCCAGACAAGAGATTGCGCAGATTCTTGGAAAAGCAGAACCTGATGTTGAAATCTTAAACCGGCTGAAAATTGTGAGTACGGATTTGTCAAATAATTGAACCTTCTTATTATCATTGCCAGTTTGGTCGCCACATACTTGCAAATGTTCTCTTATGCCGTATAATTTTCTTGTCATCTCTTATCTTGCAATCAAGTGGGGAAGAACTGTTCGATGCATGTATATGGCTGATAAATAATTCAAATGGACGCAAACTGACTCAAAATCAGACGAAAAGAGAAAGAGTTGTGTCATTTATGAAGCTTGCAATTAGAATTGAGTAAATGGTGTTTTACTCTATATTGGTACTGAGTTCCACGCCCTGGCATGAGGGATCTTTTCTCAACCTGGGAGCGTAATGTGCTATTTGTCTATTACTAAAAATTGCTAAACCAAATTGAGTCTAGAGTGCTATTCTTTTTAACCAGATTACACTAGCATCAAACCAGAAAGGAAGAAATGACTACTAGTTTGAAAAAAATAAGGTTAAGTTGACTATCTGTTGCAGGTATTCGGAGCTGTGATCAAATTATAAACTGAATACCGGTCTGTACCCTATTGTTCTTTCATTTTATGCTCCTCACATTAGAAATGAAAAATTGAATGACGGGGTAAGGGGTGTAGAAGTTACTTTTTAATATTTTTTTGACGAAATTAAACAAATATTTCTATTGAATAGGGTATCTATAGTACAGAAATTACTTAAGCATAAGCACACTTAGTTAAATTTTAATAGGATATGTACGGTACAGCATCTTGATGGCAGGTTCAAGTCAACATTGGCTCTCTTTTTTTTTGATAGAAAACTGGAAAAATTTAATAAGCTGAAGACAGATCCGAAACATTAGTTCAATTCAACATTAGTTTGATGAGTTTAATAATGATCCAATAATGCAAGGTGGGTAATGGTCAAATGCATGTGCTAAATGAATAATTCTTAATAAGATTCATCAAAAAGTACAATATTACTCGTTTACTTGTGGGATATTAATTTAAGCCTCTGAGATCCTATACATAATGATGCAACCAGCGAAGGAATAGGAAGGAATAGTAGTATAGGAAAAGCTGAAAGAAATTTAAATAATAACAGTAATAATAAAAGAACTGGAAAATAACCCATGTATCAAATCCAATGTTGCCTTAATATTCAAAATTCGCAGTCAGTCTCCCTCATCAGGGTAGTCAACATTACCATCTTCTCCTTCTTCTTCTTCTTCTTCACTGACATTCATACTAGGAATACAATAGAATTCACCTTGTCTGAAGTTTCTGGCTGGAACCAAGCCTTCAATCGGATTGGGAAGCTGATTTTCATTATTGGGCTTGGCCTGATGCTCCGAGGATGAGCTACAAGAATAAGAACCGCCATTGGCTAGTTGTGACTTGGAGTGGAGTTGATCCAGCTGATCAAAGTACTGACAAGTCTTGAATTTCTTGCGACATTGCTTCGCATTTTCTCGCGATTTCTTGAAGTATTTGTTGATGTTTTCCCACTTCTCTTTGCATCTCTTGGCACTCCTTTGAAATCCCATTGACGCCATTGAATTGCTTATCTGTTCCCAAAGAGGCCCTTTGATCCCCGGCCTTTGAAACTTTTGCTCTAAGCTGCTTCGAATTTGAATCAATGCCTCCACTTCAGCTTTAGGCCATCTCCTGTTGGTCATGTTTATACTCAAATCATCCCTGCAGACTTTGCTAGTACTGGGGCTGAGCTCGCCATTCATGGCTCCCGAAGAAATCATGGCCGGCTGGAAATCTGAGGGATGATTCCTAGGAGGAAGTTTAATACTTTGGCCAGTGATTTTCTCCAAGTATGAAACAATGGAGGCCTCTCTACTAGAAGCTAATGCCCGTTCACGGGCCCTGGCAGCCATGTCTTGCTCAAGTTTTTCTAATTCTTGTCGCCTCCAAGCGTCCTCTCTTTCCCTTCTTTCTTTATCTAATCTCTCAATTGCATTCATAAAATTACTGTGAAGAGCCTCCCGGTGGTCCATGAGCTGATGCACCAAGCCCTCAAAAAATATGGCCATCGAACTCAATTCATCTTTCAACTTCTTCCTTTTCTTGTTCTTTGAAACCACAGCTACGGGCGCTTCATGACCACTAAATGACTCAGAACCGTCATGACAATGCCCAATGGCAGCCCCAGCAGCAGTGGCGCCAGCGTTGGTGGTATGTTTGTCTAGAGTGATAGGCAAGCAGGTACTGAATGTTGTAGCCAAGTTTCCAGCAGAGGCGCCACCAGTTTTATTAGCCTCACTAGCATCTGAGGCACTTCTGCAAATTGATTCAAGCTCACCAAAAAGTCTATTCTTACTGTTCTCTAAAGAACTATTCATTTGCTCAGTATCTTCGGAAGACTTGTAGTATTTGTTTTGGTGCATTTCCGGCCGCACTTCTTTGTCCAGTGAGTTATTATTCCCATCCGAGATATTGGTGCACAGAGGCTTCCTACAAAAATTTATTGAACATATACAACCCTCAAAAAACCCTTCAAACATAAAGAAAGGGAAAAAAAGAAAGAAAGAAAGAAAGAAAGACTCCCTTGAATGCTACAAATAATAGATAGTACTGGCTATTAATGAAGGTTCTTGAAACTTAAAATGTGAACACTTGTAAATTTTGAACAAATCATACTAGACTTACTAGTACTATTATTTTACACGAGTACATGTGCACATAAACATGAAATGCAGCAACCAATAGCATGTGATTTTGTGCAATTTCCAAGTTACCAAAAAGGTTGTCTAATAGCAGTAGCAGAATCTTCTTGATTTTGCCAACAATAATGTGGGGATGCCATAGCCAAGGCAGCAGCAGCAGCACTATTCCGTCTAAACAAATCATCTTCTGATCCATCATCATCCAAACCTCCATTTTTACTACTAGTAATATTCTCATTGAGATCCGGTGGCTTGAAGTTCAGCGGGAAAAATGAAACTGAGGGCCTGATATTGTTGCCGACAACCGCAGCCGTGGTGGCACTAGTACTAACAACATTTTCTTGACCTAAAACACACTGCTGCAGCTGGTCCTGCAGCCTCCTTTGCTGCTGCAAAAGAGCTTGAAAATGATGATGATAGTGGAAAAAATCTGGGATTGTTTGGAAGTTTTGAGTTTCTTGAAAGATGTACGGTTGTTGGTGGTTGTATTGGTGACTTTGGTTCGCAGAAAACACTGGCTGCTGTTGATGGTTCTCTCCCATTTCATGCTCAAGACTGCAATTACTTTTACTACTATATGGGGGTATGCTTCTGGGGTCTCTGAATCATTGTTTAGAATCCAGAAATGATGATCTTTTTCTGTAAAGGGGAAAGAGTGAATATTGGAGTCACTGCGGCTCTGCTGTCTATGATTGAAGGAGATTTGTGTAGGTGTTCATGGGTTAACCAGAAACCCTAAGAAAGAAAAGTGGAGATTTATCAGCGGAAGAGTTAAAAACAGTGCGGGAAACTCTTGAAGGGGAGGGGGGAAGTTGTTGGAGAGATATGTGGGATAATGATAATCCGCCTATTATGGCTATCTTTTCTTCTTTAAACAAAAAGACAAATGAAGCCCAAAAAAAAAAAAAAAGCATGAATGTGTTTCTTCAAAATTAAAAAAAAAATATTTTGCCCAAAAAAAAAAAGAAAAGAAAAAGTAAAACATGAATATGCCTATCATTTGTATATTTAGAGTTCGAAGTTGAGGAACACCAATCTCTCCTTCTTCTTTTTTTTGGGGTTTTAATTCAAGGGAAATTCCAAAGAGGCAAAGTACCTAATTGGCTCTCAAACTCTTGAGTTTGTACACTTTTGGCCAGCTAACTATTATTTGCATATTTTTAGCCTTTCAACTTCTAAAAGTGTATTTTTCTGACCTTTCTATCCATTTGAACTGTTAAAGCTATCTACAACTAAGAATTTTCTATACATTAGATATTTTTACTAGATTAATAAACTAAGAGATTTCTTCGCATATTTCTAAGCAATTGCTAGTTAATATTTAAACAAACAGGTTTTAAGAACTAATATGCATTAGTATGTTCAAGAGTTCAATTATATTATAATAGTTACCACTTCCTACAAAGTTGTGTGCATAATAGAACATTTTGATCGTTAATTAAGGTTAGGCAAAATGAGTCCAAGTCCTAGTCTTTTTCTCGAGAATTACATGTTTCGTAAGGAGAAATAATTGTAAAATGCATAGTATTAGAATTTTTTTTTCTAAATCTTTACACTAAAATGTTTTTCTTAATTTTCACCTTGCCATATAGTTTTTCTTTTTTCTTTTTTGGTGATATCCCTTGGCTTATGGAGTTGATTGATAAAGTTAGAAATAGAAGAAAGTCTGCAATGGCTATTGGATCTGTTGTTGATAATTTTTTTTTTTATACACTGTCAATGTATAATTTTTTTATACTAAAAGCATTAGATCAATGTTATAATTCAAAATTATGTATATGTGACATACATCTAAAACTGCTAATGTAAAAAAAATTACTACAGTATTAGTATATAAAAATTTAATACAACATCGAAATTCAACTCCCGATATCTCCTCCTATAAGGATTGTAAAAAGAGCAAATGTGAAACTAATTTCCAAACTAAGGGCGAAAGATTGAAGTTCCTTTATTTTTGGTTGGAGTTTCAACGTCTAGGTTGTGGTACATTTCTACCAACTAGATAAGAGAACAATTGGAGTTCTCAATTGAATGCCAAGTGTCACTATATTGTTAGAGAAAGGAGTTTTTTTCCTGGTTTTTTCTACCAAAAAGTGAGAAATGTCTATTTCAGGCATGGTCTTCAAATTCAATGTCTTAATAGTTCCTTACTATTTAGGGGCTAATTGGTAACAATGGTTTAGTTATTTGCATTTGTTCCTTTTGTTTGGTTTTTAATTGATGTGAAAGGTCAATTGAATGCTTTTATGAAAACTAAGTCATTAAATAGTTGCTAACTATTTAGGGTTATTTTTGTATTTTTGAAAATATTTCTTTTATAATTTTCTGATCAAGTGCAAATAATTGTAAACTATTTGTGGGCCCTTTTATCACATGGGCTGTTTTGAATTAGATTATATGATTCATTATATAATTAATATAAATTAATGGAGTTATGCCCGTTAGAAGTAATGTGCTTGGCCGTTAGTATATGACTGATGACTGATGTTGAAGTTAGTCAACAGCACCTTAATTGTCTTATTACTTATTGAACTTCCTTCTTTCTTCATTTACCCAGAATTCCCTTCCCCTTCTTTTCTGTCGAATAGCCTTTTTCTTTCTCTCGATCGAATAGGCCGCTATACTATATCGGCCTGCAAAATTTTTAGTTTCTTACCGAATCCTTCAACAACTAAATTGTCCTTCAATTTGATTTCGACCCAGAAAATCCTCCACACGCACGTGAATTTTTGGCATGCCCCAAAAATTAGGTCAGTAAAATTCCTTTTCCCCAAAATCTACGGCCCTGCAAAATCTTCGATTTTCTGTCAATTCCTCGAGCAATTAACTGTACTTCCTTTCGATTGTCTCTAAAAAAGTCGCCCAATTGACGTCAATTCTTCTTTTGCCCCAAAAACAGTTCACTGATATCTCTTTTTCCCCAAAATCAGCTCATTTTAGGGATGCCTGTTCTACCGACGTATGCTATGATGCAGCTTTCAAAATTTACTATTCCCAGTCCTATATATACTTTTGTTCCTCAGTTTTGCCGGTCTTCAGCAGACGACCGAAGAAAATCTAGGTATTTTCTATTCTGTGTCTTTTTATTTCAACCTGCAATTTTTTAGTTTGATGAATGTTCTTACCTTCTGTTCATTTATTGCCTTCCGTTAATTAAAGACTGCCATGTCTTTTATATTATGCATAAAAGAATAATTATGATGCTAATTTTTCGATTAGCTTACGTTTACTTTTTCCTCTGTTTTTATATTAATTTCAAATGCTGCCGGACTTTTGCCAACATTCAGGCGAGCAAAGAAAATATAGGTATGTTTCTGTTTTCTCACCTTCTGATTTGAACTGCAATTTTTTCCCATTGTTGTTGCCTCTGTTTATTGCTTTCTTTTAATTATAAGAAATGCGATGTGTTTGATGTTATGCTATGATGGTTTACTTTTGCCTCTGTTTTTAATTTCAAATGTTGCATGATGCTGTTAGCTGTTTATCTATTCAATAATTACATCATTTAGGGTCTGTTTGGTTGGAAGTAAAATGTTTTCCTTGGGAAAATATTTTCCGTGGAAGTAATTTTCCATGAAAATCATTTTCCTTTCATCATTTTCAGGTGTTTGGTTAGCTTATTGAAAATATTTTCTTACTTCATTTTTCTGGTATTTGTTTAACTTTTGAAATATTTTCACTTTTATCTCTATCTTTACTTTCTACACATTATAACTACATACTTCTTCCCATGCAAAATAAGAAAATTTATCTCATTGTTTAACTTTAAAAAATCTTGGAGAAAGGTATATATGAATAAAAAATATCTCCTTAAGCAAATAAATAAATTGCTGGCCATTTAGTGTCAAATATCAATCACATGCAATGCTTATTGTGACATATATCTTGCACTCTCACTGCTGAAAGTTTCTCTAGAAAAGAATGCCCCTATTATACATAATTAATTACTAGCATAGGATGAGCAGGATGAGATTTTTTTTTATTTTGAATATACTAGGGGGAGGGTTGGGTGGTACGGGGGAGGGAGTGTAAGGAAGAGATCTTGGGTTCGAATCTTCCTGTTTACACTAAAAAAAAAAAGAACATACTGCAAGATGATTTCAGTAAGTTTGGAACATACTACAGGCAAGATGCATGCATTTCGGAAAACAACTTCAGGAAGTTGGGAAGGGAAGTTGTTTTCCATAAGATGAGTGAAAATATTTTACATAGGAAAATGTTTTCAGTAACTTTTGTGCAACCAAACACAGGAAATTAGGAAAATATTTTCCTGGAAAACATTTTCACCCGAAACAAACGGACCCTTAGTATCATTGTACTTCGGGTTATTAAGGTTGTCATTTTATATATATTAGTTAGTTTTAGCTATTCTAGGATGCTTTGATTCTGTCATTTTGTGTACCTTTGGTTTAGTATCTTGCTTTATTTACAGTAAAATTAGATTTTGATCTTCTGTGTTTCAAAATGAAGAAAAAAAGAAAATTTAGTTCAGGTTTTAGATTGATAGATGAGATGTTTGATGATTCCCTTGATTTAGCAATGTTGGAAAGAAACAAAAGGAGAAACTTAAATATGCTGACTGAGCATATGAAGTTTACTCTTGATTCTTCTGTTTCTCAACCATATTCTCCTATTGTAATCAACTGTGAGAATGACATCCGTGAAAAGCACTCTGTTGAAACATGTGCTTCACAAAATCACATCGATAGGAATGTAATTCTGCCAAATCACTGCAGAGGTAAAAATGTTTACTTTCCTCCAAAAAATACTGGAGAAGTTCATTATACCTCTGATTCTACTGACAAGCATTGTTTGCCTACAATGAATTCATCTTTAATCAACCTCTGTGGTGTTGAACCTGCTACTTTGTCACAAGTGAACTGCAATGAGGAACCATTTGTTATAGAAAATCAGTTTCAGAGTGAACAAGTTGCAAACGTTAAAGAAAAAATTAGCTATTCTGAAATATCAAATCTAGATATGGAACTAGCTAATTATATTCCTCCCCTTTCTGTGAATAGCCATATACCTATAATAGGTAGTACATCTGTTATATCTTATGATAAGAGCCCTCTTGACTATTCTGAAATATATCATGATAAGAGCCCTCTTGACTATTCTGAAATATATCATGAAGGGGTGATAAATAAGAAAGAATATAGGAGGCAGGCCTACTTTAGATGGAAACAGAAAAAATTGAGAGGAAAATCTAGATCAATTGGTCCTTATGATAAGAGCCCTCTTGAATATTCTGAAATATATCATGGAGAGGTAATAAATAAGAAAGAATATAGGAGACTGGCCTACTTTAGATGGAAAAACAAAAGATTGAGAGCAAAATCTAAATCTATTGCTTCTACAAATATAATTGAAAATCGAACAAGCATCACGATTGTGAATGAGTGTTCCTCAGCTGTTGATGTTCAGTGTACTTCTCGATCTCGTTCGAAACATTGCAGATCATCTCTGAAAAAAACTCAGCCAGGTCTATAGTTAATATTTTTAAGTTTTCTAATATCTGTTTTTAAACTAGCATTAAAATCAATTGAATGATTTGACTACTAAGTGCTCTAAAATAATTATATTTTAGGAAGAGGATACAAAACAGGAAGAGCTTTGTTGGATATAATTCCTGACAAAGCTGAAATCCCACCACGCCAACTAGATTGTCCTCATTGTGGAGCGAAGAAGTTTTTTTCTGAGACAGCATATTTTTGTTGCCAAGATGGTGAAGTTATTTTAGCTCAAAATAAAATTCCAGATATCTTTAAAGAGCTATTGACTTCATCTTCACAAGAGACACAATCTTTTAGAGCTCTTATTAGAACGTATAATAATCATTTTGGATTCACTTCCTTCGGTGTTAAAGCTGATCTGACTCTCTCAAAAAGCAATAAAGGAATTTACACTTTTAGAATTCAAGGACAAATATATCATTTTCTGAATGATTTCAATTCAAGCAATGATCATAGTAATAATTTACAGTTATATTTCAATGATTTTGAAACTGAAGTAAGCAATCGATTAGCAGCTTGTCCTAGACTATCTGAAAGTGTGATTAGAAAAATTATGCAAGTTCTTGAGTCTAATCCATATGCAAAATTTTTTAGAAATTTGAGAGAGGTACCTAATTTAGATAACTACTACATTGTGTTAAAAACTCTGCCCGGTGTTGATCAAAGAGTTTATAATAGACCGACAACTTCACAAGTTGCTGGTTTGTGGGTTGAGGGGCAAGAAAATGGAGAAACCGGCAGGCGTGATATTAGAGTTCATACCCATAGTGGTGCTTCAAAAAACATACAGTACTATTATGGATGTTATGATCCACTCCAATATCCAATACTTTTTCCTTTTGGTGATCTTGGCTGGCACCAAGGAATACCAAAGAAAGGAGCAAAAGTATATGAAAGAAAGAGGAAAAAAAAACAACCTGTAGCAGATTTGATTTCCCCTGCAAATGCTGCTACAGCAGAATAATTAATCCAAAATGAAGAACATGGTTAGTATAATAACTATATACCATGATCTTTCATTTTACCTATTTAATATTTATGATTACACATTTAATAATGTACTATTATTTTTTCCACAGCAATGGAAAACATACATTAAGATCCAAATTTTGTGTCCCTTCGAGAATACTATTGTTATAAACTTCAGATTAGAGACAATGATGAATCTTGGCTATTACATTTTGCTCGCCTCCTACAACAATATATTGTTGATCAATATGTGAAGCTTGAGACACAAAGACTTGACTTCTATAGATTACAACAAGAGGAAATTAGGAGAGAGTTCTTGAAAGGCATAATAGATGCTTTAGGATCAGGTGAGAGTCAAGCATCTAATGTTGGCCAACGTATCATATTACCGCCATCATTTATTGGAGGGCCGAGAAATATGAGACGTAAATACATGGATGCAATGACATTAGTACAGAAGTATGGTAAATCGGATATATTTCTGACCATGACTTGCAATCCTAATTGGCCAGAAATAAAAGAACACTTAATAGACAAAGAAGAGGCACAAAATAGACCAGATTTGCTTGCTAGAGTATTTCATGCTAAGTTAGAACAGCTTAAAGATGAACTTTTGAAAAAATGCATCTTCGGTGAAGTGGCAGCTTACACTTATGTCATTGAATACCAAAAACGTGGACTGCTACATGCACATTTCTTGCTAATTTTAAAGTCAAAATTCAAGATGTATACCCCTGAAGAATATGATAAAATTGTCTGTGCTGAGATACCAAATAAAGAGAAAAATGAATATCTATATAATTTGGTCATTAAACATATGCTTCATGGACCATGTGGTTCACTTGATCCAACAAATGTATGCATGAGAAAAAATGGAACTTGCAAGAATAATTTTCCTAAAAATTTTTGTGAGGAAACTATCCGAACTCTTAATGCATATCCTGAATATCGAAGGAGAGATGATGGAGTTCAAATTAAGATTAAATCAGCTCTTTTAGATAACAGATGGGTTGTACCATACAATCCATATCTTTTGGCTAAATTTGATTGCCATCTTAATGTTGAAATATGCTCTACAATTAAAGCAGTCAAATACATTTACAAGTATATCTATAAATGTCATGATAGAACTAGCTTCTCTGTAGTGAATAATAAATCTGATTCAGAAATTGATGAAATTAAACAATATGTATCAGCTAGGTGGGTTTCTCCACCTGAGGCAGCATGGAGAATTTTTAGATTCTGTATGAGTGAAATAAAGCCACCTATTATTCATTTACAATTATATTTGGAGAATTATCAGCCAATGAGTTTCAAAAAAATAGCTAATCTTCAAAATGTTGTCGATAACTATCATTTGAAAAAAACAATGCTCACTGAATTTTTTTACATGAATAGGACAGATAAAGCAGCTCAGGATCTAAATTGTACTTATGTAGAGTTTCCTGATCATTTTGTCTGGTTACCTAAGCAAAAATACTGGAAATTGAGAGAAAGAGGTGAATCAATAGGTCGAATAATGACTGCTCATCCTTCCGAAGGAGAACGATACTACTTGAGATTACTCTTATCACAGGTTCGATGTCCAATTTCATTTGATGACCTAAGAACCTTTAATGGAGTTCAAGTAGAAACGTTCTAAGAAGCAGCATTAATTCGAGGCTTGTTACAAAATGATAACAGCCAAGAAATTTGTTTACAAGAAGCCTCACTTTTTCATATGCCCTATGAAATGAGGAGACTCTTTGCAACACTTTTGGTTTATTCTTGCCCTAATGACCCAAAGGCATTGTGGCAAAATTTTGAATCTTCTATGTCAGAAGATTTTGCCAAATGTTCAGCAATGACATCTACACAAGTGAAAAGAAATGTCTTGCAACAAATTGATGGATTTTTGCAATCGATGGGAAAAAGTATACATTCATATAATTTGATTCCCATTGGATTCTCTTATGAAAATATAGACAATGAAACTCGAGAATTAAGAGCAGAAAGAAACATTGTCATTTCAGAAATTGACTTAAATTCAATTCAGCTACTCAATGAAAAACAGAAAAAAGCATTCGTAGTCATATCTGAGAGAATTTACTCAGATAGACCTGATGTTTTTTTCATTGACGGTCCAGGTGGTACTGGAAAAACATTTCTCTATAGAGCTTTGTTAGCTGATGTTAGATCTAAAGGCTATCTTGCTCTTGCTACAGCTACATCAGGAATTGCAGCTTCCATTTTACCAGGTGGAAGGACTGCACATTCCAGATTTAAAATTCCAATAGATATCTTTGATGGTGCAACATGTCGGGTCAGTAAACAAACTTCTTTAGCTGCAATGATCAAAGAAGCAAAACTCATAATCTGGGATGAAGCACCAATGGCTAAAAAAGCAGCAATTGAAGCTTTAGATGATCTCTTAAGAGATTTAATGAATTCAGAAGAAATATTTGGGGGAAAGGTAGTTGTACTTGGTGGAGATTTTAGACAAACGTTGCCAGTTGTTAGAAAAGGAACAAAAGCTGAAATGATAAATGCATGTTTGATAAATTCTCCATTATGGCACAAATTAGAGAAATTGCAATTAATAGAGAACATGAGAGCAAAATTAGATCCTTTATTCACGCAGTTTCTTTTAAGAATTGGAGATGGGACACAAGAAACAAATGAGAATGACATAGTAAAACTTCCATCTTCAATTATAGTTAACTATAATAATGAGACTGATGCAATTGAAAAGCTAATCAATATTGTGTATCCTGAATTTAAAGATCCTTCAAACAAACTGTATTGCTCACAAAATAGAGCAATTCTAACTACAAAGAATAACTTTGTAGATGAAATAAATGATCAATTGATCAAAAAATTTCCAGGAGATTTGACTGAGTACCTAAGCTATGATGAAACACTGAATGAAAATCATCAATCTGAATATATTGATCTTTTGAATACTCTTACGCCAAGCAATTTACCTCCACATAGGTTACTCTTAAAATCCAATGCCCCAATAATTCTTTTAAGAAATCTTGATCCTGCTGAAGGATTATGCAATGGAACTAGACTCATAATAAAGAGTTTGAGCAAGAATGTTATTTGTGCTAAAATTGCAGTGGGTGATTTTTGTGGCAAAGAAGTTTTTATACATAGAATTTCCTTGCAGCCACCAAGTGATGAACAATATCCAGTTCCATATAAGAGAACACAATTTCCAATTCGTTTGTGCTTTGCAATGACAATAAATAAAGCACAAGGCCAAACTTTAGATTTTGTTGGTATTTATTTGAAAGAACCTGTGTTTTCACATGGCCAATTATATGTTGCACTTTGAAGAGCCAAAACAGCTTCGGCTGTAAAAGTACTTATTAGGCCAGCTTATTTTGATGAATCATGCACTGATCATACTAAAAATATAGTATATAAAGAAGTTCTTGAAGCTTCCCAGATTACATTATCAGGTTTTAATATTCATGGCTTTTTTTTCAACTTTATTATTTTGTTTAATTCACTATCTAATTTCTCTACAAATACAGCCGATCATGCCTAGACATATATCTTCGGTACTAAACATTCAGAAAGGAGCAGAAAAGTGAACTGTTCTAGCACAAGTTGTTCACAGAGGCCACAGTCAATTAACTCGTGAAGTTCCACCTAGGCGAATTATGCGGTTTCTGCTCACAGATACTGAGGTTAGCAATTCTTTCCTATCTCTATGGTCATTAATTAAATTCATAGATGAGAACATTTTAGATTCTGTATACGAACATTTTATGATTTGCCTCTTCATTACCACATGGTTGAAAACTTGCTGAAGCTGAGAATAAGGATGATTAGCACCACTTTTGACATAGTAATCAGTGAATTTAGAGCTCTGATATCTTACTTATATCAACCTGCTCCTGAAGGGAATCTTGCTGTTCATTAAGTTTTTCTATCCAGCTAGCAAGTAGGCTTTGTTGGTCTAGAAGAAAAAGAAGAATGTTCTCAATCTGTGACATCAAAAAAAAAAAGAGTGAATGAGAACTAAATTTTCAAACTTATACCAAAAAATTTTACCTTATACCGAAGTTATTCTTGCATTACAAACCTTTGTTATGAGCATATCACAAACATATACATATGCAATTCCAGTTTACCCTGTTACATTATTGCTTATTACATCTCACAAAAAACACACACACTAAACAGATAATGGAATTGTAAAAGCTTAAGGGGAGAAAAAATTGCATATTTCTGCTGGTCATCAAGACACGCTGTACCAGACAGCATGTGGGAGTATAATATGTTAATTCTCTAAATTTGCACAGGACTAATGAACTGGAACAATTGATATACTTATGGCAGTTAACCTTTTCATCTATACAAACCATAGTTTCATCTACTGATATCAGAACTATAGTTTCATTACAAGTGAATACTTGCCTAACTATTAAAGTATTCATTCCTATAATTTTAATTTCTGTGTCATAAATATAATGTTAGCCATCAACATTATAGTTATAGCTATAACTCATAATATATATATAACTAACTTTTCCTAATCCTAATCAGGGAACAAAAGTTTCTGTTGTGACTTATGAACAACACATCAAGACCTTCAGCAAATTTCTGCAGCCTTATCAAAGATATTATGTTTCTAATGCAATTGTGGTTCCTGCTGACCCAACATACAGAGTTGGGACTTATGAATGCTCCTGGATTTTGAACTACAAGACTTTGATTGAAAATTATGCTGAACCTGTGCCACCTATGTTGCCTTGCATATTTGAGCTGACAAACTTCTCTGATCTGCACAAATATGCTGATTCAGATAACCTTTGTAGTAATTTTTGTTACATTATTTTTTAATTTACTTGACAGTCATTTGACATTTTATTGATTTCTTACATTCATATCAACACTTTTGTTTCAGATATTAGAGGCTTTGTCATTCACGCATTCCCAATAAAACAGCCAGATCTGGATTCTATTTCTAGAGACATTATAATAGTGAATGAAGAGTAATCAAACCTGAATACTACCATTTTATTAACTCATTTTAGATTAATGGCAGTAGTTATAATTTATTTGTTATACCTGACAGGAAGAAACTGATGCTTATGACTCTCTGGAATGAATTTGAACATGATGAAGGGAGCAAAATAGCAGACATGATTAGCACTGCCCCTCTAATCATAGCTCTCCGTGTTAAAGTTACCACATTCAATAGTAAATTTTTCATTATGCATTATGATTTCTTTATTGTGTGTCTTTTAAGTACTTGATGTTATAATTACTAAACCATTTCATCATTTTTACAGCTTTGTCATTCACTACAAGGTATTCATCTGGAATTCTGATTAGTCCTCCACTTCCAGATGACCTATCTTTGAGGCAATGGTAAGTATAATTTTCTTTTTAGTTTTTTCCATAAATTATCAACTTATTTTACTGATAAATTTTGTATTTGTGCTCTAAACATAATCATTCAGGTTCAGCTTGAACAAGGAAGAAATCAGGAATTTGCTTGATGCTAAAACATACAATGATGCAAACTGTTTACTTCCTCCTCCAAATGAAGAAGATATCAAAGCAATCAGCAATTTTCAGGCATCATTTCCAGTTGTAAGTACCATATTGTTATTCTACAATTTTGGTTAAATATAACTATTTTCTGTCTAATTCACATTCAAATACCATTCATGGTTGCCTGCCTCAGCAAAAGGCAGCTTGGGTGCAAGGAACTGTCAAACTTGCATATGGATTCAGCAAATATTGGACTACAGCTTGTGCGAATTGTCACAAAATTGTGAATGCTGACATTGACTGGATCATCCACTGTCCTTCATGCAAACAGCAAAGTGAAGTTGAACTCAGGTTAGATCATTAACTTATGCTTCTAAATTAAATATTATTCGCATTTGTTACCATATATTAATCTTAATTCCTCCACTCAATTAAAGGGCTCGCATTCCAATTATTATAACTGATGCTTCGAGCTCAATACATTGCATTATATCTGGAGAAGATGCTGAAAAATTGATTGAGTTCACTCCATTGCAGCTTAAACAAGCACAAGAAGATGTAAGTATGAATTTTCTGTCTTATATTCAGGCATAAATACAGATATACATAGAAAGGAATTCGCTGAATCTAACTAAAAAAATTTTCTGGTGCAGGGCTTTCAAATAGATACTGAACTTAATGATGCCTTGAAAAAGTACACAGTGGTCTGTTTTCTGAAATCCTATGAGACTCCCTTCCAAGGTCAACTGCAGAGAAAGAATACTGTCATCAAGGCTTATACTGCAGCTGAACTATCAGACCGTCCCCTTCCTCTGGAACTTCCAGAAAACACTCAAGTTTCTTCTGCACTTGGCAGTTCATCAGCAAGGCATGCAGAAACATCATCAAAGGATCAATTGTTCACACCAAGCACAAAGTTGCTACTTGAAGAAATTGCTGGAGCCAGTTCTTACAAAGACAGCCAGACATCTGCAACCAGTGGAGCAAAAAGAAGCCTTGAATTTCCAGAAGATTTACCAGCAGACACAGATCCTAAACAACCAACAAAGGCTCCTGAAGAGTTTGCCAAAGAACCTGCAAAAGAAATTTCATGGACAATCCATTTTGAGATTTATAAAATATAGTCCAATAATGATTAGGAGGAGTCTC